GATTCCACGTTTATTATAAATGTAAATTCTATAGTATAAAATAAAGTTGTGATATGATCGTCAAAAAAAAAAAATAATAATAAAAAAAAAATACACAATATATATTTTAACTATTACTAGTAACTGTACTATATTGTACCCAAAAGATTGATATTTTATAAGATACACAAATTATAAATCTAGTACAGTATATATTTAAAATATTAACTGTACCAAACCTAGGTAAAAATATTTTTATTAGGTACAGTTTTTAAATTAATATATATTAAAAAAAAAGATCAACAGTCACTCTGCAGCATACAATTGCAGGTGACTTGGAAAAATCACAATTACAAGTATAGCAAACACTAACAGATCACAAATATTAAAAAAGAGGGCAGTAGTCCTCATCCCAAGAAAGCGCAAGTCACAAGACATAGAAGAAGATAAGGAACGAAAGAAAAAAATGAGTAAGATGCATAATACTAGAGCTAAAAGTAGAGAAACTAAAAGCTCAAGCAAGAAAGAAAAACTTGCATTAGAACCATCAAGTTCTATATGTAGTGAAACGGACTCTACAAGCACAAACTGGGCAGAGATTCTAGAACATGAAAATACAGTATACATTACAAATGTTTTAAGCACAGATACAAAAAACTTTGCCACGTCAAACAAGGATAATTCTATGGCCTTGTCTATGGAAAGTTCTAGCAACATTAGTGAAATAAGATCAGGTGACGAATTATCACATGATCTGCAAGAAGGCGCAACTAGTCTTAATAAAAGTACAGACAAGAAAGTTTCCACACCCTTTGCAAAACCATGGTCTAGTCTTTTCACGAAACTGACAAAAGGAAGAGCAACATACTCTACCTTTTCTTCCCAGGCCAATATTAATACAAAGAATAATAATGCTTTAATGTTTGACATTCAATGTCTCAAAGATGTCTCTATCAATGAAATAGTTGCTATGCTATATAGTAAAATCAGAACAGATTTTATTGGTACAAAACCACATTTTGTCAAAGGGACCTATTCTTATCTTGAACTGATCTTTGCTAAAAACAGCATATAGAAAAATACACCAAGGAGGGGATAACAATGTTTCAACAAACCTTTTATAGCTTTATATCGTCTAGGCATAATCACTCAATTCTATTAGTTAGATTCAGAAAAGTACCTATCGCTATGAGAGAAGAAATCTCAAAAGAAATCCAGGAGGTTTTTAGAAATATTGTACAATTTTGGCCATAAAACCTCTTTTATATGAAGGCACACCAATACAATCGGATCAATGGGTTGTGGTATTTGATACAACTAATGACGAAGATTTGGCGCAAAGAATCTCAAGATATATAAATATATGAGATCAAAAAGTAGTCACAGAATAGAAGAAAGCTCCAAAGCTTTGTTTCTTCTATAATGGTGAAGGTCATTTAAAAAAAGACTTTAAACAATTGAATGCCACTAAAAAATTAAATCAACATTACAAGCAATTCAAAGAAAATAAAAATAAGAGGGTTGAAACAACAAAAACAATAAACAACAAGCTAGCATTAGAAGGTAACACTGGGGAAGAGAGATTGAATGAGAATACTCTAGTACCAATGGATACTAATATGGAAATGAAAGCAACAGAATTATCGGATGAAGCAGAAACTGAGCAAATGGTAATAGAGAATATATACACAACAAAATCATTAATTCAATCTAAGCCAAAGAATAGTTGCATAGAGGAATCTGTAGTAAAACAAGTAGAGTTGAGAAATCAAAATACAGAAGTTCATACCTCTAATACAAAATTTTTAACAACAAAAGGTGATCGACCAAATATAGCAATTTTGAATCCAGGAGGTTCTGTATCAAAAGAGAGTAATGATACACAAAAAGTAGAATACAGAGCTAATCAGGATGATGAGGATTTCACTAAGGTTAAAAACAATAAAAAGAAAAAGAGAAAAATTGATTTAGGCACAACAAACAATCACTAAACACTTTTATTATGACTAGTAAACAATTTATTTCAATAGCAACATTAAATGTTAAAGTACTTAATAATAGAGTAAAATGTTAGGAAACTCTTACACTTTTGAAGACTTACAATTTAGATATTATTATGATTCAGGAGACAAAATTGAATAATCAAATATTGCAGAATTTTTTAAAACAACAATGGCACTACAATTCACTCTGGTCCTCAAAGGTAGCAATATTAGCTAGTGATCATAATATAAAATTAGAAAATGGACAATTTTCACATAAAGGAAGAGTAATCATAGCAAGTTTTTTATTTAAACATGTTTAATTTCAAGTTACAAATATATATGCACCTCCTAATACAACCGATAGAGAAGATTTCTTTAATAGTTGGTCCCCAACAATAAACAGTGATGCAATTAATATAATAGGTGAAGACTTCAACACAAATCTAGACCCTACTATTAATAGAATTAGTTAAACGCCAATTTATAGTGACCCAACTAGAGAAAAACTCAGAGAGTTAATGGAAGGTTTCACAAACACAGCTGAAGCATGCAATATTAGATCTTTTTTTACTTATTCTCAAAAGGTTAAAAATAATAATGTAATGTCAACAAGGCTGGATTACATCTTTATAGATGATAATCATATTCAGCTTTGTAAAAAAGTAAAGACAAATTTTGGTAACTCAGACCACTTATCGGTACAGTGTTCTCTATATCATGACTCAGCAATCTCTAAGCCCACAACTTGGAAACTAAATCCAAGAAGTCTGAAAGACCCCAGAATTTCTAGAGAAATCATAGAGTAACTAAGAGATGAAAGAGGAAAATTAGACTGGGACCTCTGTAAAATACGAATTCAATCAATCATACAGACATTCAAACCTTTTCCAGCTTTAGAAAAACATATAAAAAAATTAAACAAATGAATTAATGAACTTAATATCAAAATGGCTAGAAACTCTAACCTTACAGATCTAAGCATAATTGCAACACAATTAAAAGCGGAGATACAAGATGAACTCACGAATCTAATGTCTAAATGGCAGATAAGATCAAATACTAAATGGATAGAAGAAGGGAAGAGATCTACAAGATACTTTTTTAATAGATTCAAGCAAAAACACCAGTCCTCAGCTACATCAAAAATTAAGATTCCAGATAATCCAATGATAAATAATCCTTTAGAAGTCCTTGATTATATAAGACATTAATATGAACTTCTTTACAAAAAAGAAACAATAGACCTATACAAAGCAGAGAACATTACCAATTACCTTCCAGAAATTTCTCAAACACAAAACCTAATGCTAATAAAGGAGATAGATGTTGAAGAAATCGTGAAAGTGATCAATAGTTTGCCTAGTAATAAGTCCCCTAGCACAGATGGTCTAACATATGAGTTTTATAAGACATTTACTAAAGAAATCACTTTAATTCTAAAAGAAATCTTTAATAAGGCATTAAATACCAATATAGTGCCAAACTCATGGCGCAAAAGTATGATCACCTTAATACCAAAGAAGAAAGAAAACCTAGAAGACTTTGGGAATTGGTATCCTATCTCTTTAGTTAATTCAGATGCAAAAATCTTTATGAAAATAATAGCGATTAGACTTAACTCTATATACAAGGAGATTATAGAGAGTCATCAACATGGGTTTGTTAAAGAGAGATTTATTGTTGATGCGGCTCTAGACATAATAACTACAATACAAAGTCAAGAAGAGCAAAAAAAACTAGTTGGAAAAAGGAGTAAGGCAGGAGGATCCCCTCTCGCCACTTATATAGATTATTTCACTAGAACCATTTTTAAAAAAACTTAATCAACACCTAATAGGAGCACCAACTAACAGTTTAAGCTTCAAAATTTCAGCATACACTGATGATATAACAGTTGACATTGGCTCACAACATGATTGGACAGCTCTTACAAACTTACTTACAATATATGAAAAAGCGGCTAGTATAACAATAAACAAAGAAAAATCTAAATTAATAGCTTTGAACGAGATGGCCACAAAGACAAGTTTACAAGGAGAGGAAACTTTTGCAAAAATTAACAAGAATGGTAAAATTAGAATTTTAGGCTTTGAAGTAGACAAAAAAGGTCATCCAAGAAAAAATCTTTAGAAAGAGATCATTACAAAAATCAAAAAACAAGTAGACTCTATGAAAACAAGAGATCTAACGTTTAGGGGGCAGATATTAATAGCTAAATTCTTACTTCTCTTGAAAATATAGTTTGCAGCCTATATTTTACCACCTACCAGAAAACAACTTAACAAAATAAATGAAATAATAATTAAATGGATAAAGAACAAATCAAAATTGCTTCCACGATACTCAATATACCAACAATTATATAACTAAAATGAGTTAAATGCTCCAGTTCTTCCAGATATACTTAATGCAAGACTATGTATGATTTGGATCAAACTACTTACAGGGCAGAATTTCTAGGCAAAATGTGAAAGAGAAAAAATTAGCTCAGTATTGTTCCATAAAGGAAAAAAATCAATTACTGCACTATTATCTGCTTCTACAATTAAACTAAAAAGATGGCTAGACACATGGAAACTGTATTTAGCAGCATGGAAAAGGTTAAAAGGTGAAATTCTAAAGGATGCAGGAACCTGGACCTGGGAACTTAATAAGCTAAAAATTATAGAGAAACAAGAAAACGAACTATCAGTTGCCAAAGCTACAGAGTTTTTAAGAAAGACATCCATCTCACATACTCTGACACAAGAGAATTATTTTAGAAAAAGCAGAAACAAAGAAAACTTGTCTTGGCAATTCATTAAATGAATTCCTTATAAGAAAAAAGACATTTTTTGAAGGATGCTTTACAATGCTCTTCCAATTGGGTCAAGATTAGCACATGTAGCTCCAAACACCCTACCGACCTGCCCATGGTGTCTGGAAGAAGTGCAAAATATAGAACACTTTACACTAAATTGCTGTCTAAGTAAAAAACTCTGGAAACTTGCATATAACATGTTTGACCTTACAAAAGATATACCAATTCCGTCTACTATAGAGGAAATAATCACAGCAAACAATGTAAAAGAATTACTCCCCCACTCAGTTATAATATGGCTCCATGTAAATATCATCTATGAAATTTGGTGTTGGTATACGAATAGAAAATATGGAAATAGCTCTCTCCCAGAGCTGGCATTGTCTTTTATCTGGAAGGGTAAAATCACAAAAGATTTACAAATTACATTAGCAAACAAAAAATTAAAAAAGAAAAAAGATTAATGTTAAAAAAAGTACAAATAGATAAATAATTAATTAGAATCGTATTTGTATTAATCATATTTTAATTTTAATATAATAATAAATCGCATCACTTGACGTCCCCAGATAATTGCTATCTTGGGATTCAAAAAAGAAAAAAAAAAAATTAATATATATTATATTGTGTACCTACTAGGTACACAAAAATTACTAGATACATATATGTACTTTAGGAATATACTATACCATACCCAATACTCAAAACTGTACCATACTAAAAAGGGTATTACCTCTTAAAAAATGAGTTTTTTTTTTAATTATCAATCATCAATAAATTTTTTACATTTTTATTATTTCTAGACTCAGGGCAGTTCTTATATCCATGCTGTAAGAATTACAAGTCAAACTATAATAAAATACAGTTATTGTATCTTATGTTAGTTTTATATAAAATAATTCTACTATTTGGAGTATCACATATTAAAACAGCCCATTTTTATATTTAAACAATTTTGTATAGCCCAATTTTAAGCAGTGTTGGCATTTGGGTTATGTTTAATAAATTTATTTGGATTTGGGCAAATATTGACATGAATAGTGTCTGTGTACATATCTCCTTTGCTGAATATTCCAGAATATTCTAGACTTTTATCTAATTTTGTCTTATTCTACCCAGATTATTGATTTTTTTTGGTTTATATATATAAAGAATGAATTGCATTATGAATTATGTACAAATTAAGATTAGATACACATGATATTAATCTATAAATATATTTTTTATATAGATTAAATATATATATATAAATAATAATTATTATTATTAGTATATACAAATCAGTATTTCAAAATTAACAAACCTGTTCTATATATAAAATTATTATAATCTATCATTTATTTTTCTTAGGTTACTATAATGCAATTATATGTTAAAAATTTAAAATTAATAAAAAATATAAATATTATAATTATTATAAATATTTATAAAATTACTAATCCAGATTGTTGATATAATTTTTAACTTTAAAGACAGGCCTATCTTTAGACCACATTCTCTTAATTCTGCCATTTTAGTTTTAAAAAAGTGTCTGAAGTAATCTCCTCTTCTTGTAATCTTGTATAAAATTTTGTTGCTACATTTAGATCCCTAAATGCTTTATTATTTTTAAGAAGCTCTACAAGTGCCAAAGTGTCATCTCTAATTTGTGTTTTGTTAGAGGTTTTTTTTTCCCTTGATGCTTTGATTTTTAGCATTTGTCAAAGAGCCCTTTCTATTTTTTGTAAGATTATTATTAGATAGTGATGATTTCTGAAAGTATAGTATAATACTTCCAAGATCCTCATTGTTAACAATACAACACTTGTTTTCAAAATTTTGATAGAATTCTTTAGCATCAGAATCCAACTTGAAATGCAAATAGCCAAAGTTGAAATTTATTTTATTTTTAATTTTCTTATTTTTTTTTTTCAGTTAAAATTTTAAAGAAATAATAAATTTAAACTTACTTATTTTTAAGTCTCTTTAGGACATGATCTATCCTATTAGTTTTATCTAATGGTTTGACTAAATCTCTAAATTTTTCTGAAGTAATATTTGCTAAAGGACCACCCACAAAAACTGACCATAATAGGGACAACATAGTTTTCTTTTTTTGAATGCTTGAAACATTTTAACCAACAAAATTATAAATTCTCTTTAATATATTGATTTCTTTGTTTTGTTATACAATATAATCGACTTTTTTAGATTCCAAAATGGTGACGTATGATTTCTTTGTTTCTGTATATTTTCAACATAAATATTCAAATGGCATCGTTTGTTTGATATCATATATATTAAAAAATTTCTTCATATAGTCAAAATTATCTTTCATTAAAGACATTATATATACCTATGCTTAAAAAACATGCTTTTATTTTTATATGCATATATGCATGCCTGATCTTTATCAAAACAATAAAGCCAAATATGTACATATCATTCTATCCTTTCGAAGAAATTATTCAAATGGACCAAACTTATCTATATTGTATTACTACATCACAAGATATCACAATTTAACTAAACTTATTTTAATTGTCATTTTGTATAGTAGTCTAAAGGCTCTGATTATGAATTGTATCCTACATTTATATAGAAATTAAAATGTTCTTATATTTTTGTTGGCAGGATTAGTATGTTGGGTATCACTTTAATGTATTGTACATTTTTATCAGTTTTCTTAATAGTATACATAAAAATTCCAAAAAAATAATTCAATCTTTATTAATATATATTAGATTTATATTGATATAATTAAATACAAAATTACAAAATGAATAAGTTTCGATATATAAAACAACTTTAATAAAGATGTTGATTAAGAATTTAAAAATAAAATCTTTTTCCAATTGTTTTCACATCAATTTGTTAACAATTAGAAAGTGCTAAACTATAATCTGATGATTTCTGAGTTTCAAATGACGGTTTATGAAATATTCAAAGTACTGTTTACACACATCATATGTAATAAAATAATAATGCCAGTTATACCGGCTATTTGCCAAATTATACTGTAGTGAGAATAATTTAATTTTCAAAAGTGGGTAACGATTGCAATCCTATAATCAGCTTAGTAGCACATATACGTATAACTTTAATTTAACACAAAGAAATATATATATGCAAGCTTATTATGTAATACATTTGAATACCATATATAGTAATTTTAACTATGCATTGTTTATTACTAGCAAATTGCTCGTGTCTCCAGCACGAGTTGAAAAAGATTTTATTACAGAAGTTTGATTGGATGCATGATATACTATCACCAATTGGATAAAGTAAATTATACTTGAGAAAAAAAATGTATTTCAAATATTTTTTTCAAATATTTTTTTATTTTTTTTTTTAAGAGTTTAAAGATTAATGCAAACTTTTAGTAGTTTCAAAATTAAAAAATTTTTTTTGTTTTCTTGTAAATCAGAGACTTATGCAAACTTAAACTCATTTTATATACATTTTTTTGTTAATGAAAATAATTTAAATATGAAAAATAAATTAATTTAAATATGAAAAAAATAAATTTAATTAAGTACAAAAAAAATTAATTTAAAAAATGAAAAAAT